TTCCTTTGGCGAAAATATCAAAAGTTTTATACCAGAACACTCTGAACATTCGTGTTGGATGCTCATGAGGAAATGCGAAACACGTACCGCCAGTGTGTCATCCCCCAAACACATGCTCATCTGTGTGATCAGAGCAACCGTACCAGTGGCTTCGCCACAGATATTCCAACCTGTCTACTTACAAACGTCCGACTTGGAGTGCTGTCAGATGTGTGGTTCCACCGCTTACTCAGAATACAGGCTAATGAATTTCCTGTTTTTCTCTATCAGGATACCTTACATAAGTATTGAGGCAGCATAAACGTTCGCTGGGTGCCTGATCCCGCCAAATTATAACCACATATTTCACACGTATGACGCTAATCATAACCTTCAAGGCAACTTATCACATACCCAGACCCGTGTGTTTACAATATGCGCGGTGAACGGTGTGAATTAACGTGGAATCAATTGAATTTTGCCTGATGAAACTACTAAACCACAGGTTCGTTATCTCTCTCTGTCCGACAAAGGCGGTTTGATGTGCAGCTCAGGGGGAATTTGGAGAGGATTAGTGCCCATCGTGCCCGAGTGACGTGCATAATAATTCTGTCATCGCAACTCCCCTGTTGCTGTTGGGCCTTAACAGGTTCAAGATGTAAAACTCAGTTAGGTTCCCTTAACACAGGTGGTTCAAATGAATAAGGAAATGGCCGCGAATGAGAAATGATTGAAATTCGGTTTGCTGCTCGCATTCTGCATCGACAGAAGAAAGCAGAGTGCAGTGTTCAGGGGGGATTAGGCAGTTAATGGATATGAACTCTGATTTCTCACGACAAGAGCGGACAAGCAACACACAAAAGCAAAAATTAACTGCATTGTGAAGACAGGGTTGTATGCCTTCCACAGGCGAAGATTACCAAATTCAGGAAATGCGCAACCGTCTAAAAATGCTGCAAGGATTTTGAACTACTAGCAAGTAGAAAGTAGGCTGAGTGACGAAAAATACTGAAACCAGCAGGACAGGTGGATGTTGGTCAGCTTGACAAGCTTGGCAACTGGCTTACTAGTGCTGCCATGCGCCACGTCACTACACTATGTTCGACGTACCTTCCGCCAAACGCAGCTCTGAACTTCCTATCACATTGCTGCCGTCCTTCGTCATAATGATGCACAAATGTGGAACTACATGATCAATACCTTATGGAACAGTGTCACTAGAGCAACACAAATTACCACTTCCTAGTTGTTCAGCGCCCATAAACGGCGATGGATAAAGCCCTAACGAATGTCCGAGATTAAAGACAATGTACACAAGGCTGGGTGGGGTAACGGACATCTCTCTTAAGAATAAACGGGGTACCATGAAGGCAATAGGGAACGGGTGTGATTTCGAAAAATTCTCACACATTCACTCACCTGTGCGACTTGAACAGGCATAGAATACAACAAGTATAGAATCTAAACCAGAGAGTTGGTATATGTCAGGCGTTGTACTTGAGGACAACAGCATGCACGCACCAAGGCCATATGGGAGAAAACATTCAGAAATGACGACGGAGAGGGGAGAACAGCTGGGAAGTCCAGCAAAGCCCAAGTTAATGGTTTCGTAGTGAAGAAGCAGGTGAGCCTTCGAGTTCGTTTCGGCTGCATTGATGTCATGCACTTAAAAGATGTCGCAGCCCTATTGCTTTGTATCTGAAAGACCCTTGCTTGACAATAGCCGAAATATCCGTTATGTGGGCAGACCATCACGCGTAGGTATGACTGACTGTGACAAATTAGTTCAGGTTTATCCTCGTAAGAACTCTCCTGGATGTGAAACATACTGTCCAGTATGCAAAAAGCAACTTACGATTATGTTCAACCGAAGGAGGTTACCCGTACTCTTGGGTAGCACGTAAAGTTAAATCATGTGACATCTTAGATCCACGGAGTAAGAAGGCCCTGTTGTACAGTGTGGCAGTACCGAAGGAACAAGTCATCAGAGTCAAGCTAGAGTGACCCTGTAGGTCAAAGCTGGTTTAATGGAGAGAAGAATAAATCCGAAAATTCATAAAACCACAAATCTGCACCACAAGAGGAGTACGACCAAGCTTTGAGTCATGATTTATGAGGATGCAATATAGAGTAACGCACGTGCCCCGACAAGCATCAGTCAAGGCTACCAGAAGGAGGTACCTCATAAAAGTTTAGTAAAAGCAAAAACAGGGGAGTAGTATAGGTCAGCTCAGAAAAAGTAGTGAAAAACTACGATCGACACCCTGTTTGTTGATGAAAATCCTTAGCCATGGGCAAATGTTTCTCCAAAAACATGTTATACTAAGTCATCGTCGGTACGGCCCTCTTCCAGTCCAGAGGAAAGTCAGATTTATGCACCAAAAAGGCGAGGTCAAGACGGAATCTCTTTATCTATGGTGGGGAATAAGAAAAATGTCTCTTCCTCACATGAATTAATCAAAGTCCTCATTGGAATTCCTTCATAGAGAGAAGAGCGAGCAGAAGGCATTGACAAAGAACAGGAAGGGTCGGTTCCGGGGAAATCGTGCCGCGAATTAGTTGTTTTGCTCGAACGCCCTGACTGTCCCACAGATCACACCAGATCACGCCGGCTCCACAACAACGTCAAATATTAGAGTGTAATCACCCTCGCAAAAGGCCAAATACTTTTTCTCCTTTCTCTCCTTACCACCATATAATCGGCAAAATATGGAACAGCAGAGACAGAATAAAAACCCTGACTGTTCAAATCTAGACTGCTCCGCATGACCCCTGTGGTGAACTCAGGCAAGAGATTCCCGTAGACCTTCACACGGCCGCGGCAGTCGGCATACAGCGCCTTAAGAAGGGTCAAGAATTTATGGAGGACACGAATGCTAAAAAGACACTGCCATACCTTCTGACGGTTCACAAAGTCAATGACAGCTTTCAGATCAAGGAATTTTTAGTTGCTCAAAGCAGCTTTAGGATATGCCAAAGCATGAAGATATGATCGATGCACCCTCTTGCAGGACGGAACGCAGCTTCGTTTTTACGTATCTGTTTCTCCCTATGTTCAGTCAACCTTCGAAAGATAAGACCAGAGAGCACCTTTGACGTCATTGGTATCAGGCATATGCCACAGCGGTTTGCACACAGCGTCCGCGTAATTTTTGTAGGTATGAATAGCTGCTGATATCCATCATCCTTCAGGAACCTGCTCTTCGTTCCATATAGCAGCAATTCGCTTTATCAGATGGGTCTCTTTTGTATAGGACTGGATACAGACCGTACACTCTTTATGCCTTCTCACTTCTCAGTGGCCGCTGCTCTCCTAGGATCAGTTGATTGTATCATTTGGTGTGGGGCACGGCTGTTTCCCGTAGCAAAAGCCTTCTCCGTCTCCCGAGCTTTTGATGTCCACCAGAGTTCCCAGTATTTCTTTATGCACTTCACTAGTTGGCGTTTGAGAGATTTGCGTGCGCCGTCGATACATGCTGGTATTAGTTTCCTAGCATCCGTCATGGACAGCGATCTCGACGTCATCCAGTGGTCTTGTGGCCGAATCAGAGAAGTCGGAGAGACGGCACATCTTGCCACGCTTTATCCACATGCTTACTGATAGTACAATATTGGTTTACTTTGGAAAGTTGTTGGGCTAGCTCAGATCGATGCTGTTGAGCTAGGGTAGTTCTTCGAAGACAGCGGATTAGCATGAGCCTTGCCGACTTTTGTGGACCTGTGGGAAAACGGACTGTCAGGCGTGCACGCATCATGGCGTGATCGGAATCGAGCTGTGTCCCAGAGGGAATGGCTGATCGCCAAGAGATCCAAATCTGTCCACGGTTCATTTGCAGTTGGTGGTTATGTGATGTGAACGTTTAGGCAAAAAATTCGTTTGGGCCAGAAACAGTTGATGAATCGCACACAATTGAGGGAGTCGCTGTCCGTTATCAGTGCGATAAGCCTTGACTCCGAATCGACCGCCAACGTGTGATTCCAAGGAGCTCAGAGCATTCAAATCGCCTGCATAGATCCTTATGTCAGGGCTTTTTGCCTGACAAATGAG